CCAAACATGCACACCAAGCTAACTGTCAAATTGGATAAATCGAAGTCGTAATGTACAAATGTCAGATTTGAAAGATTCAATATTCGAAATAAGCAACGAAAATAAATATTTTCTCAAAACAAGCTATTCACAGTCTTCTTAATGTTGAATAAATAATTTTATTTGGCTGTAAACAATCATTCTATGTAAATACATTTTGAACACACTTGCAAATGGCTCATCGGTTTTGAAAAACAATATAAACAAAATAAAAGTTGAAATGGTTTGTATATGTCGTACTTATTTAGGATCTTTTTAAATGGGAAAGGTCGTGGTCGAACTCAATCGCGCAATTTTATTTATTCAAAACAATATTGGAATTCGTTTTCATCCGAATTTGTTATATCGATAGGACTTATATTGTTGCAAACCGTAAACGGCTGCAATTGAGTTGTTGTTATCAGCATATCATTACCACTGTTCATTAGTATAGCCATAATTTCACGCTTAACGGAATTTCGTTTTGATAAGTCGCTAATTTGACGCATTTCACTGGCAATGAATTGACCGAAGACATCAAGTTCGTCGTTTGTATGGCTCATAACTTCCAATGCTTTTTGCATTAAAACATTTTCATCAGATGACTGTGAGTTGGATTTTTTTCTCTTACTCGAATGTTCAATACGCCGTTTGTTATTTGAGCAAGACGGTACATCATATTGATTATCATTAGTATCGGACGAATCGGAACTCAAAACGATAGCAGCATTGATATCGAATTCAGCTAATTTTTCGATAGGTCCAGTGGATGACAATTCATTCAAGTCCAATGTTGATACGGTTGCCCCTGACATTGTATTCACGTTTAAGAATCGCAAAGAAGACTTATATTCCCATTTCGAGATGTAAGCCTCATCAGCTCCAGAGCCGCTTTTGAGTGTTCGTTCTTTGTTGCACTCTCTATTGAACTGAGTTCTTAAAGCATGCCATTTTGCGGACACGTCTTTTGAACTAACGTTCAGCTCATTTGCAATTTCTGAGAGCAGTGTTTGCTTAATATTTCTATAATTTTTCGGAATGGTTTTAGTTTAGTTTATTAAAAATAATGTTCAACATTCGAAACTCACCGATTCATGTAATTTTGAGAAGAAGGATTCCAAAGGTCAACTCTCATTTCGTAAAGTTCAATCAGTTTCCTTATCTCCTCTCTATTCCATGTTCTCGAAACCTTTCTTTTATCTTTTTGATTATTTTTCTCCATTTTTTTTATCAAAACACAAAAAAGATATAAATATCGCGAATATTGCAGACGATCACAAGCTAACAAAAGAACGACGCGTTCTTAATAATGATGGTTGAATGTTGAGGATGAGGATGAGGATGAGAATGAGAATTTAAATGATAACGCCACCTATAGATAACACATGAAAACTTTGAATGAAAACGCAACCAATTTATCTGATCATATTTGTGAAAAAAATGTTGTTTTTATTTATATCATATCATATTGCCAAGATACCTCTCCGGCTGGGCTGACAAAATAGCTTTTGAATAATTCGCGAATTTCTTTCGCTTCGTTTGAATAATTGATAGGATTTGTCGATTCATTTTCACAAGTTTCATTAAAATTCAACAAAGCATCAGATAATAAAATTTCGTCTTCGTCAGATACCAAAAAATTATGTAATACGCATATGGCCAGAACACATAATTTTACATTGTTTTCACTTATTTCGATGTTAGTTCTAAGCAATCTAAATCGGGCTGCCATGATACCAAAAGCACTTTCAACCATTCTTCGGGCCCTAGAAAGTCTATAATTAAAAACTTGTTGCGATTTATCTTGATTACGAAAGTTGAACGGTTTCATTATATAGCTTTTCAGCGCAAACGCATCGTCTGCCACAATCACATAAGGTGTTTCAATTGTAGTTCCGGGCAAACAGTATGGCGACGGAATATTCAATAAATTGTTTTCAATTGCATGATATAGAGAGCTCCTGTTAAAAACACCACCATCAGAAATTCTTCCTTTACAACCGACGTCTATGTATGTGAATTTATAATTGGCATCCACCAATGCCATCAAAACAATACTGAAGTTATGTTTGTAGTTGAAATTCAGCGATCCAGAATTTTTCGGGCAACGCAAAACTATGTGTTTTCCATCTAGTGCACCCAGGCAGTTCGGAAAGTTCCATTTACTTTGAAAATCATCGGCAATTTTCTTCCACTCCTCACACGTATTTGGTACCTTTTTCAGAAAGTAATGTACAAAAAATGTATTTTGGGACAATAGAGTATTTTTGGTTAGCATACCTTCAAATATTCTTCACGAAGTGATGAGAATATTGCTTTGCAAGTGCTTGGAATTATTCCAGAAATGGTGTTATGTGGAACGCGAAACAGGTACATCAATGTTCTATATGAGTCACCACTTGATAAATATTTTAGTGTTATCATTAATCTCGTTTCTGCTGAAATTGATTTGCGCATATTTGTATCCTTTTTTGTAATCAACGGACGAACTTTTTCCAATAGAAAATCGAATTGAACGCCATTCATTCGAAACATGCCTTTAAATGCATTTTCATCTTCGCTACGCATCTGTTCTATCATTTTATGAGTGGAATTTTCAGTTTCACGTGCACGAATCCAATTTCTTACCCACATTTTTCTCTTTTTTCTTTTATTTCTTTTTTGTGTTAATAAAATGGCTACGATAACCGCGGAAGCAACAGTGTTTTTCGAGATTGCCATGTCACTCTGTAAAACTGTGGTTTGATCTGATTCTGAATTTCTTTTGATGAAAATGTATGACACATGAATTCAACCTCACCCTTCAACCTCATCCAATCTTATAAAATGTCAAATAAAAATACACTTCAAACGAAAACCAATTATTTTAATACAAGACAAATTTATTTTTCTTCTGCATTCATTGATTTACACAGCAGTAAAGCCTCTTTCACCGCTTTTTGAAGTGGAAGATTCATATCTTTTCCGAAAACATTTAAATTTGGAAGAAATTTTTTCAACTGAGATTTAAATACTGCTGATGTCCGGTAGTCATTGAACCAATAAATGTTAATTTTATTCCCATCAAAGCTCTTGATTAATGCAGGCCAATGCTTATATCCTTTCAGCTTGCACCAAACGATTTCGCCAATAACATATTCCGTGCAACATATAGCCTTTTGCGTTGTTTCATTCTTAAATTTTCCTTCCGTTTTCGATTGTTTCTAAGAAATAAGTTCAATGTAAAATAAAGAAAATGCAACGAACATATCTTAAGGTGTGAAGTAATAATAAGTACCCCATTGTTCGCATTCATTCGAATGTACTTTGAACGAATTGAGACATTTTTTGGTTCGGATCGTATAATTTTCTCTGATTTCATTGTGTTATGTGTCGATTGATTCTAGCAAAGATAAAATATCATAGTATTAAATATTTAATTGTGCGTGAACAAATAAAAAAAATACTTCATTTCTCGCGTCCACAATCATATTTTGAATGTAATTTGATGACATTTTTTCCAGATTAACCTTGGCTCGTTTTGCATGCAAAACTATTTCATCATCAGTCAGTTTTCTTTTAACTGATACTGATATATCAATTTTGCACAATTTTCGCAGAATATTTTTATCGATTATCTTTTTGCTAGTCGTTCCAGACACGATGCAAATGCTTTTCAAATTCACACGGCTATTCATTTTATTTAAATTCATAAATTATTCCACACTATCAAATACACAAATTAAAAATGAATACGCTTTTCAACACCTCATCCTCAACATTGTTCTAATGTCAATTCTCACAAACTCCTCATCCCCAACCTCAACGTCAATATTCAACGTTATATATATTTTTGGCGCGTAATCGTGACATGTGTTTGGAATTGGTTTATAAATATTTGCATTTTGATCATTTTTATCGCTAAATGTTTGTTAAAAAATTCAAAGATGACGATTCCAAATAAATACATTTATTTTATTCATTCAAAAGGATTTCATTCATGCATTTTTTAATAAATTATCTCTTCATGTTCAAATTCAATGAATGATGGATCATACAAAATATACTCCGATGGAGTGATAGAGAAGTCAGTCGCTTGAGGGTATTGTTCAGGTGGCTCATCTGTTACAACAGGAACATCTTTTATTGCTACGAATTGTTCTTCAGTCTCCTCTTTGACCTCCTCTGTGTTATTATTCGTTTCAGTTTCAGCGATTATTAGTCCTTTTGCTTCATCCCTTCTGTTATCAGTGACATTTTCAACAACCAAAGCACGCAGTCGGCATGATGTTTTTTTATGACGAGCCATACCAGCGGAATGAATATGAGCACCGCATTCACACATTTTTCGTTTATTTTTGTGCGTTTGTTCAACGTGTCTATTCAAATGGTCTATCCTTAATGTCGAATATTTACACTTTGGCTCAGGACATTGAACCACCAACGGATTTGAAGCACAAGAACCTATTGTTGAAACTAAGCATGCAGTTTTTTCTTCATGCGTATCGACAAAGTTGTTCAATTCCATTCCAGTAATTTGATGAGATGATGCATTTGTTTCATTCGGTGAGTTTTCGGTGGCTTTTTCAATGCACAAACTAATTAAACTACGATTGTTCAGCAATGGACATGATGTTCTTTTGTGTCGAGCTAATCCAGATGACAAAATATGAGCTCCACATTCACAGATTTTGCGTTTTTTATTGTGTGTTTGATCGATATGTCTATCTAAATGATCCTTCCTTAAAGTTGAATAAGAACACCTTTTATCAGTGCATTTGTAAATGGTCAATGGCAGCAAGTTGCCAGAACTATTTTCTTCAGCCTTATCCATTTCGCTTACAGAAACAAACTGTTTTATACAACCAAACATGCACACCAAGCTAACTGTCAAATTGGATAAATCGAAGTCGTAATGTACAAATGTCAGATTTGAAAGATTCAATATTCGAAATAAGCAACGAAAATAAATATTTTCTCAAAACAAGCTATTCACAGTCTTCTTAATGTTGAATAAATAATTTTATTTGGCTGTAAACAATCATTCTATGTAAATACATTTTGAACACACTTGCAAATGGCTCATCGGTTTTGAAAAACAATATAAACAAAATAAAAGTTGAAATGGTTTGTATATGTCGTACTTATTTAGGATCTTTTTAAATGGGAAAGGTCGTGGTCGAACTCAATCGCGCAATTTTATTTATTCAAAACAATATTGGAATTCGTTTTCATCCGAATTTGTTATATCGATAGGACTTATATTGTTGCAAACCGTAAACGGCTGCAATTGAGTTGTTGTTATCAGCATATCATTACCACTGTTCATTAGTATAGCCATAATTTCACGCTTAACGGAATTTCGTTTTGATAAGTCGCTAATTTGACGCATTTCACTGGCAATGAATTGACCGAAGACATCAAGTTCGTCGTTTGTATGGCTCATAACTTCCAATGCTTTTTGCATTAAAACATTTTCATCAGATGACTGTGAGTTGGATTTTTTTCTCTTACTCGAATGTTCAATACGCCGTTTGTTATTTGAGCAAGACGGTACATCATATTGATTATCATTAGTATCGGACGAATCGGAACTCAAAACGATAGCAGCATTGATATCGAATTCAGCTAATTTTTCGATAGGTCCAGTGGATGACAATTCATTCAAGTCCAATGTTGATACGGTTGCCCCTGACATTGTATTCACGTTTAAGAATCGCAAAGAAGACTTATATTCCCATTTCGAGATGTAAGCCTCATCAGCTCCAGAGCCGCTTTTGAGTGTTCGTTCTTTGTTGCACTCTCTATTGAACTGAGTTCTTAAAGCATGCCATTTTGCGGACACGTCTTTTGAACTAACGTTCAGCTCATTTGCAATTTCTGAGAGCAGTGTTTGCTTAATATTTCTATAATTTTTCGGAATGGTTTTAGTTTAGTTTATTAAAAATAATGTTCAACATTCGAAACTCACCGATTCATGTAATTTTGAGAAGAAGGATTCCAAAGGTCAACTCTCATTTCGTAAAGTTCAATCAGTTTCCTTATCTCCTCTCTATTCCATGTTCTCGAAACCTTTCTTTTATCTTTTTGATTATTTTTCTCCATTTTTTTTATCAAAACACAAAAAAGATATAAATATCGCGAATATTGCAGACGATCACAAGCTAACAAAAGAACGACGCGTTCTTAATAATGATGGTTGAATGTT